GAGGCCAGGTGCTATCCTACTCACCCCTACATCGAAACACAGCTAGATTAGGAGCATGAGATGACCCCTGGGACCTCTGCCTGAATTCCTGAGTCTCAGAAGTTCAGCCACCTTCAAGGAGAAACAAGTTTTGAAAGAGGAAAAATGAGTAATACATAGTAACAGGTGGTCATTGGAGGGTGTGTGTGAAAGCAAGTCCCTTAAAGCTTGGGTATCCCTCATATGTCTTCCCACTGTACCTATTGACCCCACCCTACTATAGAGCAAGAAACTCCCACATAACATGGGACTCCAAGGACCGGTTTAGACATACAAGGCGAAGTGGTAATCTTGGAGGTTACCTTAGCTTTGCTTGTCTCTAGTAAGACTCTAGAGGTATTTTCACAAAGCCAGTAGGACTCCCTCACATCTACACAGACTCTCAAAACTTGGATTATCTGAAAACCCAGCACCTGGACCATCTAACACGTCGGATAAGACAAGACATACATCTCAGACTTTAGTGGCAAAACAATTCTACCCTTGCAAAGGCAAATAGATGAGCTCTACAAACAAGACTTCCAACAGGTCATTAGCTTCTCCAACATCTACGTATCCTTGTTCTTCTACTCATGACTTAAAGATTTAGTTAGAAACAATGTTAAGAAGGAGACAGAAAGCCAAAGCCACATGGTTCCAACCACTCAGCAAGCACGGGGCGGAGGGGGGGACTATTTTATAGCAGAATATACACACAAGATTGTGTTTGGTTCAAATAATACTTTCCTTCTGACCCTTTAAGGGACTGAGAAAATGAAAAATCAGAAACTTTAGGATCAGTCTGTGTGGTCCTCATTGGCAAATAATTCTTTTCAGGTTCGACTGAAAAGTGGGACTTTCACTGTGGCCATCCCATCGTTAATCTCTGATCCTACAAAGAATAAAAGGATTGTACAATACAATGGAATGTTTATGCCAATAAACTACATAGTTTAAGTGAAATAAGCAAGTTTCTAGAAAAATACAAATTACCAACACTGACTCGAGAATAAATATAAACGTAGCATACTTAAGTAAAGAGCAGGATCAATAATTAAAATTATCCTGTAAGGAAAAACTAGATGGCTTCATTGGCTATATTCTAGCAAATATTAAATGAATCCTTCACAAACTAGTCAAGAAAATAGAGGAATTCACCAACGGAAAGGAAATATGTCCATGAATATAGTTATATCCCAGAGTGTCAGCAAGATTCCTCAGCAAGTCAAGGTTTATTGCTACTATGACAACCTGAGTTCCATCCCCAGGAGCCACATAGAGGAAGAGAAGAATCAATTCCTGCAAGTTGTACTCTGAGACACACACACACACACACACACACACACACACACACACACACACACCACAATCAACAAATAAAGGTGTAATAAAAATAAAATTGAACCCAACAACATATAAAAATAGCCCAAGGAGGATTTATATCCTGGCATCCACATGTTGGTTTAACATTCAAGACTTAATTAATGAAACACATCACTTATAACTAAAACATGCAATCATCTAAATAGACATAGAGATTTAAAAAGTATTCAGTACTCTTTCATAGCAAAACATTTCAATAAAGTAGATTTATATTTGTATATTTATAAATACCTCAAAAGTATATTTATAAAGAGGATTTTGTTGGTTTGTAAAGGATATCTGTATAAAGCCTTTATCTCATATCAAAACATTTAAAGATCAAAGATGGAGGGAAACTTTTCTTCTAAGACTTGAGCTAAAGCAACACCCACTCACACTTCCTTTAAGCTCTGAACGGGATATTCTATTTTTATTTTTTATTTTTATTTTTATTTTTTTGATTTTTTGAGACAGGGTTTCTCTGTAGTTTTTGGTGCCTGTCCTGGAACTAGCTCTTGTAGACCAGGCTGGCCTCGAACTCACAGAGATCCGCCTGCCTCTGCCTCCCGAGTGCTGGGATTAAAGGTGTGCGCCACCACTTCCCGGCTTTGAATGGGATATTCTAGTCAGTACTACATGACAAAACATGTAAAGCCATCTTTGTTGAAAAAGAAGTAAAACTGTATTTTCAGATTATCCTTACATACAAAAGTCTAAGAAATCAAACAAAATGACTCCTGAAATAAATTAACCATCTCGGAAAGATCACAAGATCTATATTTTGGAACCAAATATGTTTTCATATGATATGGACAATAAATAGAAATCAAGAAAATCACAAGCATCTTTAGAAGAAAAATCTTTGTGACCTTGTGTTAGATAGTTTTATTATATAATATAAAAATCATCACCTTTAAAACGACTAATTGACAAATTGGACTTATTCAAAACTAAAAAGTCCTTCACTTCAAAGTCACCAGTGGGGAAAAATAAAAAGGTAATATGCAGACAATAATATGCATGGAGTTCTACTTAGAATATATAAAGAATTCTTAAAACTTTGTAAAGTTTCTTGAAGCCAAAATAGCCCAGCTTGATAAATGTGTTGCAGGTCTGACTAGATCTGTGTATAGCTCAGAGAAAGATGCTCAGAGAAAGATGATGCTCAGCATCCACTGGTTACAGAACAGTCAACAACAGAACATAATAGATTCCATCTCATACTCACTGAGTACAACAAAAATGGCACAATAGCAAGTATTGGTAAAAATTTAGAGAAATTTAAACCCTCATACATTGCCAATGAAAATACAAATTGTGAAGAAAAATGTTGGTAGTTTCTTTTAAAGTTAAAACTAGGGAACTGGAGAGATGTTTCAGTCATTAAGAGCACTTACTGCTCTTGAAAAGGACCCAGATTGTTCCCAGCACCCACATGACAGCTCACAACCATTCATAACTCCAGTTCCAGGGAGTCCAATGTCCTCTTCTAGCTTTCAAGGGCATTAGGTACACATGGATGTACATACACACACACATGCAGGAAACAGGCTCTCTTAACTTTGTATCCTTCCTTAACTCCATGTCCTCGTTACTTCTGGAACACTGAACACACTACCCATGATCCTTGAAACCCCAGATAGACTTTCAACTCCAGTCACATGGCCACTCCCATGACCAAGTTATGCTCCAAGCAAGTTTCTCCAGTGTGACTCCTAATGACAGCTCTTCCCCAGCCTCAAGGGACCCTTTCTTTGCAATCTCTCCTAGAAGTCGAACAGGTAGAACAAGAGCCTTTTCACCATATCTGCAAAGAACTAGTTCACAGTCCTCCGTTCACCCTGTAGCAGAGCTTAGCTACACTGACACAAAGTCAGTGTTTAAAAGTGACTATGCCTATGTTGGGAATCTAGCTGGCAGAACCAAGGGTGAATGTCATGAAACCATAGCAGTCCGTGACCTCTGCTTAACTTACCCGCTGTCCTGCAGAAGGCAGCTTGTTCCTCTGTGGCTTTAGGTAGATAATGCCCAGAGTTTCTGTGTATATTATGGAGCTCATAGATTACTATAGTCAGACTCAGCAGGTGTTGGACACGGCAGGGACTACCTTCCTAGTGCCCAAACTGTAGTGGGCACCAGCCATCAGCCATGGCTTCCTCCTGCCACCTTCTGCACCTAAGGTCCATGTTTCCATGGTGGCCAACCAAGAGTTACCAGGCCACCCTGTAAAAATGCAACCATGACTCATACGACCTCCACAGCACACACATAGGGCGTGGGCAGGCAGAGCCCCACACGCTGTTTGCTGACAGCCAAAGTCAAAAACCAGCCACCAGCTGAGATTCCCAGGCCCCCTCTGAGGAGGGAAAAAAACTGAAATCCAAAACACATCAGGGTGTGGACACTCCTGCCTCCTCAGCTTGACTCACCCAGCTCTACAGAGCCCACAGAGCTGTGAGGTCCAAAGAGCCATGGAGCTACCCAAGGCCAGGAGTGACTACCCCCAAAGAGATATCAAATATTCTGGAGCTGCTGTGCCTCACAGTAGAGCTACAGACAGCAGAGCCAACAGGAATGTCCTAGAGAACCCTTGGTTTTCCAGGGCATCCCTTCATCACTTATAACACATAGTGAAGGCATCAAGATCCCAAGGGTCACATGGGAGGCTTTGGGGTGGAATTAAACATTTTAAACATTTTAATTAAAAGCAGAGAGAGAGAAAAAAAACTTTTTAAATATATAGCACACACATAGGACCAGTTTAGATGAGGGCTAAAGCAAAGAAGACAGTGGAAAGGAAGATTGAAGTAGAAAGAGATGGCCAGGTACCAGGAGGGGTAACAACAACAGAGAGAGATCAACAGCAGAGATAATCTTCCATGGGTATTGCCAGAGCTTCCAAGAGTGCTGTAGTAGTCTTGTCCTGACAGAACCAACCACAGAGGCCTTTCCATTGCTGAGGTATCGCGTCCATAGTTTGTTGGTCCTTAACAGACACCCAGGGCTGGAATTATCAAAACTGCAGCCAAACTGAAACCCACCAGTTTTCATCAGGCACCTATCTGTAAAGTTTTTAAATTGCATTCTGCTGGTCCATGCTTTGTAGAACTAGCTGCTGAGGGTGGAGAGATGCCATTCTTAGAACCCAACTGAAACTGAGAAACTTCTGTAAAGCAAAGGACACTGTCATTAAGACAAAAAGGCATCCTACTGAATGGGAGAAGATCTTCACCAACTCCACATCAGACAAAGGCCTGACCTCCAAAATATATAAAGAACTCAAGAAACTAGACTTTAAAATTCTAATCAACCCAATTAAAAAATGGGGTACTGAACTGAACAGAGAATTCTCAACAGAAGAAGTTTAAATGGCCAAAAGATACTTAAGGTCATGTTCAACTTCTTTAGCAATCAGGGAAATACAAATGGCATAGTTCTAATCCATGTTTTTAAACCAACATGTTAATGGCACTACCCATTACACGTAGACTATTTTTTTAACCATTTGTCCACTGATAGTGTTATAACTTATAAAAGAAAACAGGTCCATAGAAGGATGTTGAGAAAAAAATTATTCTTCAGAAGGGCTTTATTAGGAGCGTTATAGGCTCTCCTAGTGGTTATAGGCAGCCATGCTGAGGCCCTGAAGTAGGACAGGAACAGGCATAGTACAGCATGTGTCCTGAAGAAGACATCTCAGTTTCTCTCAGTCCTGATGGAATGAAAAAGTTATACAATGACATCCAGAAGGGAGAGACAGACTGTCAGTTCAGCAGCACGAAAGGAATATCTTGCTCTTATAGATCTATGAGGGAATTAAGTTCTATACCATGTGGCTAGACTATGTGCCGAAAGCAGAATTATAACTCAAGGCCATCTGGGTCAGGACAGTAGGAAAGGGGAGTTATAGTAGCAAAGAGGAGGGAAAGAACTCTCTGGGAGCCACAAGGCCACAGCAGGCTTATCAGCTCTCTGGGGAGAACTCCAAGGAGTATGGCCTGATTTCTGGGAGACACAGAGAGTCAGCTAAAGGCTCTGTGATCAATCAGATAGGATGCACATTGTTTGCCCTTTTTATTGCCTTCGATGTTGAAGCATGCTTTCTCTGAATACAGAACATTGGATTGACAGATAAAGCCAGAGGCAACATTAGATGTCTTTCTCAATTTCTCTCCACCTTACTTTTGACGTAGAATTTTTCACTGACCCTAGTATGCATTAATTTGACCAGGCTGGCTGACCAATGAGCTCCAGAGATCCAGCAGTCTCTATCCTGGCCCCTAGCACTGGGGTTTGTAAATCACTGTGCCAGCTTTTATGTGGTACCAGGGATCCAGCGCAAGTTCTAATGCTTATGAGGAAGGTGTTTTACCAATTGTGCCATCTTCTCAGCCAAGCAGATTAATTTTCTTTCTTTAAAATGTCAGCACTCTGTCCTCCACCGTTTCTGAGAAATTGGAAACCATCTTATCGCTGTTTTTCTATATAAAATATGTCATTTTCCCTGGTTTTCTTAAAGATCTTCTCTCAATATCTTATTTTCTGTAGTTTCACTATGGTGTCCCTAGGTGTGACTTTTCTGTATTTGTTCCAATCAACATTCTATAGATTTTGGATTATTTGGTGTTTTGATATCTTGAGTTCTTTACATATTTTGGACATTAGTCCTCTAACAGATGTAGAATTGGTAAAACTCCTTTCCCATTCTGTAGGCTGCCTCTTTGTCCAAATGGTGGTATCCCTTGCCTTACAGAAGTTTTATGAGGTCCCATTTATTAATTGTTGATCTTAGTGCCTGCACCAACAGAGTTCTGTTCAGGAAGTCTTCTCCTGTGCCAATAAGTTCAAGGCAATTCCTGAGTTTCTCTTCCATCAGATTCAGTATCTGGTTTATGTTCAGGACTTTGGCGCATTTATAATAGAGTTTTGTACAGGGTAATAAATACAAATCTATTTGCATTCTTCTACATACAGACATCCAGTTTGACCAGCACCATTTGTTGTAGATGCTGTCTTTTTTCCAGTGTGAATTTCTGGCTTCCTTATCAAAAATCAAGTGTCTATAGTCATGTCTGGATCTTTTATGGACATTTATGTCTGGATCTTCAGTTCTAGTACACTGATCAACATGTCTTGTTTTATACCAATACTAGGTAGTTTTCATTTCTATAATTCTGTAGTACAACTTGAAGTAGGGAATGGGGTCGGGCGGTGGTGACACACACCTTTAATCTCAGCACTCAGGAGGCAGAGGCAGGCGGATCTCTGTGAGTTCGAGGCCAGTCTGGTCTACAAGAGCTAGTTCCAGGACAGGCTCCAAAGTCACAGAGAAACCCTGTCTTGAAAAAACAAAAAAAGAAAAGAAAAGAAATAGGTAATGGTGAAATCTCTATCAGTTCTTTATTATTCAGGATTATTATATATTCTGTTTTTTTTTAATTTTTCCATAAAAAGTTGAGATTTGTCCTTTCAAGATCTGTGAAGAATTATGTTGAAATTTTGATGGGGATTGCATTAAATCTGTAGATTTCTTTTGGAAGGATGACCATTTTTACTACGTTAATCCTACCAATCCATGAGCATGGAAGATCTTTCTATCTTCAGATATTTTTAAGAATTTTATTCAAAGATTTGAAGTTTTTATCATACAAATCTTTCACTTACTCGGTTAGAATTATCCCAAGATATTTTATGTTATTTGAGGCTATTGTGAAAAGTGTTGTTTCCCTGATTTCTTTCTCAGTCCATTTGTCATTTGTATATAGGAGGGCTACTGATTTTTAGGAGTTAATCTTGCTAAAAGTGTTTCTTGCTAAAAGTGTTTACCAGATATAAGAGTTCCCCAGTAGAATTTTTAGGGTCATTTATGTATACTATCATATCACCTGCAAATAAAGATACTTTGACTTCTTTCCAATTTGTATAGCCTGATCTCCTTCCCTTGTCTTACTGCTCTGGCTAAGACTTCAAGTACTATATTGAGTAGGCATGGAGAGAGTAGACAACCTTGTCTTGCTCCTGATTTTAGTGAAAATTTTCTGAATTTCTCACCAATATTTTGATGTTGGCGATGGCATTGCTGTAAACTGCCTTTATTATATTTAGGTATGTCTATTGTGTCCCTAAGCTCTCCAGGACTTTTATCATGAAGGGGTATGGATTTTATCAAAGACATTTTCTGCATCTAATGATATGATCCTGTGGGTTTTTTTCCTTTCAGTTTGTTTATGTGATGAATTACATTTATTGTTTTTTCATACATTAAACCATTCCTGCAACTCTGTAATGAGGCCTACTTGATCATGGTGAATGATTTTTTTTTTTAATGTGCTCTTGGATTCAGTTTGCAAGTACTTTATTGAGCGTTTTTGCATCTATAAAGGAAATTGATATGTAATTCTCTTTATTGGGTCTTTATTGTTTGTTGATTTGAGTATCAGAGTAACTGTGGCCTCCTCATAAAATTAATTAGGCAATCTTCTTTCTACTTCTATTTTGTGTAGTATTTTGAGGAGTATTGGCATTAACGCACCTTTGAAAGTTTGGTCAAATTCTGTACTACAATCATATGGCCCTGGGCTTTTGTTTCTGGGAGGGGAGACTTTTAATTATTGTTTCGATTTCACTAGAGTTTATAGGTCTATTTAAATTTATTTTGATTTAAGTTTGATAAGTGGTACCTATCAAGAAAATTATCCATTTCTTTTAGACGTTCCAATTCTGTGGAGTACAGATTTCAAAGTACACCCTTGTATAATTGATTCTCTGAATTTCCTTGGTGTCTTGTTATGTCCACCTTCTCATTTCTGATTTTGTTAATTTGGCTATTTTCTCTCCATCTTTTAGTTTATTTTAATAAGAGTTTGTTGATCTTTTGATTTTTCTCAAAGAACAGACTCTTTGTTTTAGTGATTCTTTGTGTTGTTCTCTTTGATTCTGTTTTATTGATTTCAGCCCTCAGTTTGATGATTTCTTGCCTTCTGCTCCTCTAGGTGTGGTTTCTTCTTTTTGTTCCAGAGCTTTCAGGTGTGCTGGTAAGTGGCTAGAATGAGAGCTCTCAAGTTTTGTTTTTGTTTTTGTTTTTTTGGTAGGTACTTAATGCTGTGAACTTACCTCTTAGAACTGCTTCCTTTGTGTCCTATAAGTTTGGGTATATTATGCATTTATTTTCATTGAATTCTACAAAGTCTTTAATTTCTTTATTTCTGTCTTAACCCATTTTTCCATTCAGTAGAAAGCTGTTCAGTTTTCATGAGTTTTTAAGTTTCCTGTTGTTTTTGTTGATGATATTCAGCTTTGATCCATGGTGATCTGATTGGATGAAGGGAGTTATTTTAATTTTCTTGTATCTGTGGCGATTTTCTTTGTGTCTGAGTATGTGGTCAGTTTTGGAGGCAGTTCCATGAGGTGCAGAGAAGAAGGTATATTCTTTTATGTTTGGGTGAAATGTTCTGTAAATATTTGTTAGATCTATTTGGTTTATAACATCTGTTAACTCCAACATTTCCCTGTTTACAGTTTTTGTCTAGATGACCTGTTCATTGTTGAAAGTGGAGTATTGAAGTCTTCCACTATCAGTGTGTGAGGGTCAATATGTAATTTAAGCTGTAGTAGTGTTTCTTATATAGACCTGGTGTGTCATTTTATTTGGGGACATAGATGTTAAGAACTGAAATCTTGTCTTGGTGGACTTTTTTTCCTTTTGCTGTGTAGTATTCTTCCCAATGTCTTTTGATTAGTTTTTGTTTGAAGTCTATTATGTTAGATATTAAAAATGGCTACATCAACTTGCTTCTTAGGTCCATTTGCTTGTAATATCTTTTCCAACAGTTATCCTGAGGTAATGTCTATCCTTAATATTGGAGTGTGCTTCTTGAATGCAGCAGCAGGATGAATTCTGTTTTCACATCCATCCTGTTAGTCTGTATCTTTTTATTGGAGAATTGAGACCATTGATAATGATCAATGATTCCTTGATTCCTTGTTATTTTGTTGTTCATGGTGGTGGTGGTGATCTCTTTCTCTCTCTCTCTCTTTCTCTCTCTCTCTCTCTCTCTCTCTCTCTCTCTCTCTCTCACACACACACACACACACACACACACACACAAGTCTTCTGAAGAGGCAACAGCCCTCTGCCTCCATCCCCTCCCCCTCCTCTTTCCTCTCTCTCTCTGTCCCTCTATTTCTCTTACTCTCCCAATACCCACTAAATAAGCTCTCCATACCCAAGCTCTCTCTGCAGACATATCTGTCTGTCTCTTACCCACCGCACAGCCCCCCATACTAGCAGGAGGACCTTCCAGGGTCACCCGTGCCATAAATCATAATGCATTTCTTCTATCATGTCTTCAACACCTAAGATTCTCTCTTCGTCTCTTGTATTCTGTTGATGAAGTTGCCTCAGAAGTTCCTATTTGAATTTCTAAATTTTTCATTTCCAGAATCCTCTCAGTTTGGGTTTTTTTTTTTTTATTCTATTTCCATTTTCAGGTCTTGAACAGTTTTAATGCATTTCTTTCCACTGTTTTTTCCTGGATTTCTTTAAAGGATTAACTAATTTCCTTTTTAAGTGCCTCTATCATCTTCGCACAGGTGGTTTTTTTTTTTTTATAAAGCCTTTTCTTGTGCCTCGGCTATGCTGGAATATTCAGGGACTGCTGTGGTAGGGTACCTGGGCTCTAGGGAGACATATTGCCCTGGTTATTACTGGGTGTGGTTTTTTTTCTTTTTACAATGAAAGAAAAAAATATTTTTATTTTTATAAGATTCCACCTACTGTCTTCACTGTGAACTAAAGTAGGTTTTGAAAATTGTTTTCATAATGGCTAACAAAAATGTGGTTGGCCAAACACCAGGCCTTCTAAATACAAAATATAATTATATTGGACTCCATTTTCCAGATACATGTATTCTTCCTGTACACGGTACAAAACAGACAAACACAGATTAACATGTACTAATAACTGTGAGTTCTCACAGTGTCAAGGTACAGGTAGTCTGTGCTGATGGGGTCCAGGTGAAGCCAAAGGAATTTCTTTCCAGGCAGGAAAGAAATTCTGCATTCTACTGCTGGCATGAACGTACCACCTGCATGGTAGTGTTCATTATCTCCTGCACCAGGAATATTCTATTAGTCCCTATGGGAAGTCATAGCAGAAGAGCCATAACTATCCGCAGAGCAATGGGGATGCTCCCACTAATGCCCAGTTATTAAAATATCTCAGTATAATCATTGTACCCAGTCTTTCCTTATTGTATACTCTCCAGAGAGACTCATCATTTTTTCCACTTATTCCGGTGTAATGAATTCATTTTGCGTTTTCTTTGGGAGAAATTAAGAGGGATCACAATATAATGTGTTAACATTTGAAATTCTCTACAGTTCAGGCTGGCAAATTGTTTGAAGCACAAGCTAACAGGGAAAGGCTGTTTATTAAATTAGTTCCTTATGTACAAAATGTGCATTTTCTTTGTAAATTTTTGTCTCTACACCTAGATTTAGACTTTTTAATTCTAGTTTTTATAAATTCCCTGTTTCTTACAAGAATAAAAGCATGTTTTTAAAGAAAACACTTCATTCCGTGGCCTCTATTTTTTAATTCTTATTGTGTTTTTATGTTAGTGTCTTAGGTTTCTGGACTTGGGATGGTTATAGGTCTAGGTTCTGATTTCTGATTTGTCTTTGTTGGGTAGGCAATTTGATCTGGTAGGCAATTTCACTTCTGTTTCCTCTCTGGATTTTTCAGAGTGTGGTGTCTGTGTATTGCCTGGTAGGAAATGTTCTTTGGACCTGATAGTTGTGGCCACTGGGAGTGCCAGGTAAAACGTGTTTGGGGTACTGAAAGCTGACGTTTAGAAATGGGGATAATCTGAAGGGGCTCACAGGAGGGAGGAGAGCAGAGTATTCAACAAGGATCTGCTTATTTTATCTCCTTGGAATGGGGGAGACAGTGAAAAGCAGCCAATACAGAGGGTCTGCTATAGAGCTGTGGATGGGACTGAGGTGTTGGATCTAGAGGAACAGGAGAGAGGAAGATCTACCTACAAGTCCTTGGTTCCCTGGTAGGAGTGGCCTGCGGGTTAGCACGGAGAGCCTGCTGGAGCTGGAGGCTGGGTTACTGGGATGAGTTGGGGAGGAAAGTTGAGAAGATCTTTGTGATACATTGGGGGTGGGGTTAGAAGGGAGACTGCAGAAGTAGGGATGAGACTAGGGGATTGGATCTGGAGGAGAGGGAGAGGAGTGAATCTGCTGAGAGTCCCTTTGCTGCCCTGGAAGGAGGTACCTGGGTTGGGGGCTGGGACAAAGCAACAACTGGGAGGAGAGAGGTTAGAAAGAGGATATCTGTGGAATCCACAGGAAATGGAAGCAGCAGGGGGTGGGGGCAAGGAAAACTGCCACAGGTGGTCTGCTGCTGGGCTGTGGATTAGGCTGTGTGGGCATTATAACTTACTGCATAGTCACAACCTCCATTTTTATCACAGTTTATACACAGCCTCAATCTAAGATCACAATTTTCACTGGCCTGCCCTCTCTTCTGGAAATTTAGGCAGCTAAGGGTCTTCTCCCATGACCCTGCAGATTTTTGTAAGATTTATTTCTTTGTGGTTATACTATATAATTCAAGGACCTTTAATTATTCAGGGCCAGAAGAAAAGAGCTGGACAAACTGCCTTAGGAGCCTCAGTCTCGGGAAACCCGAGGCTCTAACGAGTTCATCCAATCAGGTCAAGTCCAGCTAGGAGACTCTTAGTTTAAATCATCTCAGGATTCACTCATCAATGACCTCAGTTTTATCCACGCTTCCCTCACTCTTGCCAGCTGCCTAAAAAGTCATGGGGATGAATGACATCATGGCAGGCTCTCAGGTCTTGAGCGTGGAACAGCTTCTTCTTTTATGATGGCCTTACTATCTCTTCTGTCTACTTTCCTATTCTTTTTATTGACATTTTCCTGTCCATGTGTGAAAGGTTTCTGTTAGGAATATTTCCTAACATGAGCTACCTGCCGACGCAAAAATTCCCAATCAAGCCTAATCAAAACAAGCCAAATTAAGAAATATCCAGGTTTAATGGGAGTTCTGCACTCTCAGGTGGCCCCCGAGGGGGAAAACCGGGAAACCGCAAAAAAATGCGACCCCATCCCCACCTCCTCCCACCCCCAGAAGGATCTTGGGAGATCACTTAAATACCCTGACCTGCTGGGATTTGGAGCCCAGATCAGGCCTGGGGGCTGGGATAGATGCAAGGGGCTACGCCCCCAACTTGACAGTTTCATATATCACAGTCATGTCTTCTTATTTGCAGGGGATATATTCCAGGACCCTGGCACCAGAGATAGTAGGAAATTCCACAAATACTATATTTTGCCTATAACCATCATGTTTTCCCTATAGATACAAACTTTTGATAAAACTAAATTTACAAATGAAGTATGGTAAGAGACTGACATCACCAGCAAACGAGTAAAACAATCATTATACTATTTTGAAAACTGTGAGAGTAGCTTCTCCGGAGTGTCATGTATTGAACTCACCTTTCTTGGGAAGCCATAAAATGACAGGATACTTCAGGATGAGATGGGAGGGAGTTGATAGATGTTGATTGAAGGGTTCTGTTTCTATATAAGGGCATTTGGACCAGCATGTACGATGGTGTCTGCCAGGTCTGCATGTGCTGAGCAAAGGATAATTTGCAATCTGGACAGATCTTAGCTAATGGCATGAAATTTCATTATACTTGTTATGCCCAAATCCACAAAGTCCCCAGAAAAGCCAACAAGGAGACTGAGTCCCATATATAAAAGCAAAGAGCCTTTATTTTAAGCAAGTTTGCAAACTCGGTCTCTCCGCATGTCCAACATATTGGAATAAATGGAGAGCCCCAAGCTTAGTTACAATTGGGTTTTTATAGTGCTAAAGGTGGGGGAGAGGGGTTTCTGAGGTTCAGGACCCCTGACTAGCAGACATTTGTCTAGGGGTGTCCTGGTGAGTGTGTGCTAGCAGATGATCCTATCTACAGCGGTTGGAATGTTAGGCATTTCCTTTAGGTGGTCTGTTCCTGCGTAGTGGTTGGGTAATCTCAGCTTGTGGTTCTCTCTGCTACCAGGTATTGCTTTAGGGTAAACTACTGAGACTCAGGCTTCTTATGAAATTTATCAATAGCTAAGTTTTACTCTGGCAGGTGATAATGGTTGGAAGTAAAGAACTTCCTCTGGGTGACCTGCCCATGTTTAGCTTATCATGGCTGACTCCCACATTTCCCCCTTCACAAGCACCAATGACAGGACCCAATCTTGTGTCCTGCTTGACCCTGGTTTTAAGGAGACATGGAACTATTTAAATTAATAAACCTATTAATTGACAACTCTGGACCTAGTATATTAACAGGCACTATAGTAGGTATCTTGTCCCCCATGCCAGGGAGTTCCCCTAGTCTCAGCCGTTCAATCTATTTTGGGCAGGGGGCATGGGATGACATGTTCCTTTGCACAACTACTTCAAGCTGACATTGGGGCATTGTTATTCGGGCCCAAGAAGGTTGAAAGACTAGCCAAAGGTGGGGAGGAAATTCAGGCAATGGGACACTCACCAGACTTCGTTGAAGGGACAGGGAGTGTTCATGTTCACATCAGCTGGACTGGTCCACATCAGCTTTCAGGAAGTCCAGGGCTCGCCACCATTCAGAGCAGGTTGTAGTCAGCAACTGATGCTAAGATGCATCTGCCAGCCAAGTGGAAGCCTACTGAGATAAGTTTAAACTAGGAGCAGAAGTTAAAATTTATTTACTTAAAGAAAACCCATATTGTAGAAAAAGAACAGATAACGGGTATCTGTAAACAGAAGGAATAGACTCCTACCTTTGAGTCCTAGCAAAAACTACAGATTTTGGTTAGAAGCATGTATATTTTTCTGCTGTCCAGAGAACCATGTATGGTTTGGACAGAGATGCCTTTGGCCCAATAAGAAACACCTTTAAGTTAATATTTAAATGACAATCAGAATAGATCTAAAATCTTGAGCTTGTGACCCATACAGTTAGTAGTCATTGCTCTATTAGCTTATTAGAATTACCATGGTGGGAGGGGGATTAGAAACATTTTTTTATATCTTAAGTCATTTTTTTTAGGCCCTCAAAGCTTATGAACTTTTATCTGGATACCTTTTGTTGCTAAACTGACATTATACTGTCCTAGCCATTAATACTATCAGAGAACTCAGAAGGATAAATAAAGTATATCTGAGTACAGACCAAATAGTTTTTAAATCTATTAAAATGACAGGGACCAGAGTCCATATACAGTTAGTCATACCCAGGTCTCCATAGCATTGGAGGCAGAAATATCCAGAACATCAGTCTTACCGTCTAATCCAGGCCTATAAGGTGAACTTTTTCCTTTTCTGTGGAAGAGGGACATGGAAAAGACTGACCTTATTTTGTCTAGGCAAAAGTGGTGCAATCAATTCTCCAAGGTCCTGCTGTTTGTCCACAGTCTGTACCTGGTCCTGGCAGGTGGTGTTGCACTGGGGCATCTCGTCCAGTGGTCAGCGTAGTCGTCATCCAGGTGGAGACATCATGGTGTCTCCTAATCTTTTTGGAGACCTTGGGTTACTGCTAGGACCTCAGAGTCTCTGTCTGATATAATAAGTTTTTTAATTATTATTTTAAATGCCATATCCTGCAGATCTCTGCAGTATGAGGGCTGCCTGGGTATGTCTGATTAGACAAACTTTGTTTTTTATTATTTGTTTTAAGTTTGACTTTGAAAACGTATATAGGAAACTAAATAAGGCTTATTCCTGTAACTAATTATATCAGTACTTTAAAGAGGATTGACTTGTATTTCCTAACAGTCTATAATAAGTTACCAGCTTTTACAAGACTAGAACTCCACACTCTAATGATTTTGAACTAAAGCCAATAAAGAAACCAAATTAGTCATTTCCAGGGTAAACACAGAACAAGTATATATCTAGCTGTTAATGTTGTCTCCTGCAAAAGCAAGAAACAGGTCCTAAGGTGAAATGGGAACAGGAGGGGTCTAAGAGCTAGCATTGCCCTAGGGCAAACTGGGACTCAGGTCTACCTTTGATCTATAAAACCCATCTTGGCAGGTGTGTACCAAGTTGACCTGGGAAAGCTGCCCTGGACCCTACATTTTTTTCCCTTTACAAGTACCAATGACAGGACTCGATCATGGGTCCTGTCTGTCTAGGGGCTCAAGGAGGTGATATTGACTCGTTCTCAAACAAAAGCCATCAAGTCTGTTGATAAGAAGCAAGATCGTTAGGGACCTGTTAGAGCTGGAAGCAAAGTGGTTAACCAAGGAGACCAGTTGAACAAGGAACGTGTTGCATGTTGTCCCATGCCCCCTGCCCAAAATAGGTTGAAAGGTTGAGCATGACCATTAAAATGCATGCGGCCCAAGATGTTGTTGATGCTGAGCTTGCTGCTGTCCCTGACAATATCTGCTTGTTATCTTGCCTGAACAAGCCTGCAGTAGCCCAGGAACAATCCTAGGTCTTTTCAGGCCTAGCTCCTGTTCATCTGATACAAGGAGAGGGGGCGGGAGACCAGACTCTTGCTTCTGATCTTCCTTCAGCCTTCATTGTGGGAATAAATTAAGTTTGTCAACACACATTAAACACACACACACACATAACAAAGATGGGTATGGTGACACACCTATAATCTCAGCCCTCAGAACTCAGGAGGCAGAAGGATTGCTGCATGTCCAAGATCAGCATGGCCTAACTACATAAGGAGACTCTGTCCCAAACAAAACAGAACAGGACACAAGCCAACAAAACAAATTGAGCTCAGGAAGTGAACCATTTGTCACCTGTACTGTTTGTATATCAGCCCACACCATTAAGATTAACTCACTGACTGGCAGCATGTGTTCAGATTCCAATAAAGGCCAAGTCACCACTCACGAGAGAAAGCCAGAGACTATGGATACTTAACAGATGATGGACTGCCACAGGAGGTGTATTGGGGCCTGTCATAAACCACCCCTGTCATAGAGAGGATCACTGTGACCCTCAGAAGATCATCAGGAGAATTTACTGATGGTGGGGAAAATCTAGGCCTGGGAACCTTCAAAAATGAATGATACAATTTTTCCATTCATGGGGCATATCCCAGGCACATAGTACAGACTTCTGACTTCCACAAGCTCAAATTTGGAGTTAGTTCATGATTTTAAAGTGTTGTCTCAAAGAGGTTCCCAAGGAGAAGATTCTGAAACATGTTCAAAGAACACATGTTATTCAGCAAGGCTCCTCACAGGAGATACTGGGAGTCTCTGAGGAATGTACTACAGTGCCTTTGAATGAAATCCCTCACAAGAGAGGTTGGGATGCACTCAGGAACACATCACAGGATCACTCAGTGCGGCCCCTCACAGGAAATGCTGGGCACGCCCAGGAAGACTATTCCTGGGGATGTGAACAAACTACCCCAGATAGGAAACTGATGACAGACCATCATCTGTACCACCAGAGTTCAACTTGGTGAACCATTGAGTTCTGTTGGGGTTACTTACAGGAATATGGTGAGGAGTTACATACAGAAGCAAAAATAAGTCAAAGACAGATTCATCACCAAAAGTCTGCCACAACATGGGTGACAGCTCACAAAACCTGGAGACTTGAAAGTACACTGCACAACTTACAGACAGCTCAACAGGCTGGAGAGTGTCCTTTCCAGGCAGTTTGGCTAGTCTCTGCTTCTTCCAGAGAACTCAGCTTGCCTGGGTGCCTCTCAACAGTCCTTATAGTATCTATATATGTATGTGTGTGGATAGATAGATAGATAGATAGATAGATAGATAGATAGATAGATAGAT